TACTGTATAATCTCAATTCTATGTGGAATCTAAAAAAAAAGCCAAATTCAGAAACAGAGTAGAATGGTGGTTGCCAGGGACCTATGGGTGGGGGAAATGGGGAGATGTTGGTTAAAGGGTACAAACTTCCAGTTATAAGATGAGCAAGTTCTGGGGGTGTATTGTACAACATGGTGACTCTAGTTAATAATATTGTATGATATACTTGAAAGTTGCTAAGAGAGCTCTTAAATGTTCTTACCACATACAAAATTTGTGATTATGTGAGCTGATGGACGTGTTAACTAACCTTATTATGATAATCATTTCACAGTATATAAATATATCAAATTCTCATGTTGCCCACCTTAAACTTATACAGTGTTATATGTCAGTTATATCTCAATAAAGCTGGAAAAAAATAAAATGAGTATGAGTTCTTCAATACACAGTATTGTGACACACGCTAGCAACAAACACTGGAAACCAAAATCAAAAACACAATAACATTATGTTGTACACCTGGAAATAATGTGACATTGTATGTCAACTATACTTCAATCAATAAATTAAAAAAAAATCACAATAACATTTACAGTTACTCCAAAGAAAATAAGATATGTAGGTATGAACCGAACAAAACACGTATAGGATCTATAAGCCGGAAACTACAAAGCATGATGAATGAAATTAAAGAAGACCTAAGAAATGGAGAGAAACTGTGTTCATGGATTGGAAAGATGGAACACATGGAAATTGTCGATTCTCGCCAAATTCATCTATAAATATAAAACAATTTTGATCCAAATATGAGCACGTTTTTTATAGACATAGATAAGCTTATACAAAAATTATACAGGAAGGTACAGGACCCAGAAGAGCTAAAACAGTCTTCACAAAGAAGAAAAAAAGTGGGAGGAACCACTCTACTTGATATTAAAGCCTCTATGTGACTACAGTAATTAAGGACATGTGTTGTTGGTGGAGCACAGACACATAGATCAATGGGACAGAATAGAGAAACCAGAAATAGAGCCACACCAATATGCCAATCTGATATTTGACTAAGGTGTAAAAGCAATTCAATGGCAGGAAGATATTTTTTCAACAAATCATGCTGGAGCAATTGGTATCCATAGGCAAAAAAAAGTGAACCTTGATCTAAGTCTCACACCTGTGTAAAAATTAACACAAAATGGTTCATAGATTTAAATGTAAAACTTAAGGGGCACCTGGCTGGCTCAGGCAGAAGAGCGTGTGCCTCTTGACCTGGGGGTCGTGAGTTTGAGCCCCACATTGAGTGTAGAGAGTAAAGGAATAAACTTTTTTTTTAAAATGTAAAACCTAAAACTATAACACTTTTAGAAGAAAAATATTTTTGTATCTGACATAGGGCTAGGCAAATAGTTCTTAGACTTAACATAAAAACACTATTCATAGAAAGAAAAATTAATAAATTGAGCCTCATCGAAATTAAAACCTTCTGTTCTGTGAAAGCCCATATGAAGAGGATCAGAAAAGAAACTGCAGACTGGGAGAAAATATTTGCAAATCACGTATGCAACAAAGGACTAATATCTAGAATATATAAAGAACTCTCAAAATTCAACTGTGAGAAAACATTCCAAAGAAAAAATGTGCAAAAGCCAACGAAGAGACAGTTCCCAGAAGAGGATACATAGATGTCAAATAAATACATGAAAAGATGGGAGATACCATTAGATATTAGGACAATGTAAAATACAACCACAATGAGCTATCTCAATACACCTATCCGAATGGCTAAAATTAAAAAATAATGGCAACAGTGAATGTTGACAAGAATGCAGAAAAACTGGATTTCTCATGCATGGCTGGTGGGAATATCAATAGTACGGCCACTTTGAAAAGCATTTGGCCGTCCTTAACGAAACTAAACACGCACTCACCATACAACCCAGGAACGGCACTGTTGGGCCTTTATCCCTGGGAAATGAAAAGTTATGTTCGTGCAAAATCTGGAGACCTATGTGCACAGCAGCTTGATCTGTAACTGCCCCAATCTGGAATGAACCCAGATGCCTTGCAGTCGGTGAATGGTTGAACAGGCTATGGTATGTCCGTACCGAGGAATATTAATTAGCCATAAAAAAGGAATGAATTATTAACATATGCCACAACTTGGATGGGTCTCCAGAGAATTATGATGAATTAAAAAGAAGCCAGTCTCAGAAGGTTACATACCCCGCATGATTCCGTGTAATACTCCTAAATGACAAGATTACAGAGATGGAGAACAGCTTAGGGGTTGCCAGGGAGTAGGAAGTCAGGGAGAGAAGCTAGGTGGGACTATAAAAGAGGAACACTGGGAATCTTTGTGGTGCTGGCGTTGTTCAGTACTTTGACTGTGGCAGTGGCCACATGAACCAACACGTGATAAAATTTCATAGAACTATACACACCGGCAAATGGGTGCATGTAAACCTGGTAAAATTGGAAGAAAGTGGATGGATTGTATCGATATTATACTACAGCTATGAGACATGTTACCACTGGGGGGTGAAGGGTATTTGGGAATTCCTCCAAATTATTTCTTACAATTGTAAATCTACAATTATCTCCAAATAAAAAAAGAAGGGAGTATGACATGATCCGTGCTCTAATCCCCATTTAATAGGAAGAAATAAGGCATGGAAATAATCCTCAGTTTAGTTTAAATAAGGCCTGGTAGGAAGTGGAGGTTTGGACTCACCCAAATTAGAGTTCCCAATTCAGAAATCAAGACCAACTAATACAAGGACCACCATCATTTACATGAGTGAAGAACCTTTCAGAAAATCCCAGCAGCTCCCTTATATAGTTGCCAAGTGTATAAGAGATCCTGAGCAAAAACTGCCCAGTTCAAAAGAACCATTTGATCACAGCAAATTGTTTTAAGCTTTTTTTTAATTGTTTTAAGCTTTTAAGCCACTAGGTTTTGGGATGGTTTATTATGCGGTAATCAGAATATTACATCAGGCAGGGGAGCGAGTGGTAGTAGCCAAATACATGAGTTGTAAATTTCAGTGAGTCTACTCATTTTCAATGCTAGGATCCATGTTCGTCCCAGGCTGTTGTTCCTGGAACCCATTTTCCTGAATACATACTCTCTAGGCAAGTTGGCAGTGATGATGGGGACTGGGGAACGCAGATACAAAGGAAATTGAACAACCAGTTCTTGCCTTGAAGAACTCACAGTCTTGTGAGACAAAACATCAGCACATTAAATGGCATGAGAACAGTTATAAGGCAACAAATCAGCAAGTTCAAACTAATATACTACAGCACAAATTGAATGCATGTGGCAGTGTATGGCTACCCAAACAGCGGAATGGAGCTAGACATTTTGGACCCTGAAGGCAACACTTTAGAAGGGCCCCTTTTCCTTCCTTAACGGTGAAATAAACATCTCCAGCAATGCAGGGGCTAGTTGGTTGATATTAACACTTCTGAAGAAAGAAGAAGGAGGTAATTTCCAGAGACAGTTATTCTTGTTTTACTTTTCCTTTGTTCTGTGTTCCCGATACGTGATTTTGGGGCAAGCTACAATTTCCCTGAGCATCAATTTCCTCATCTCCAGGCTGGAGGTAACAATCAGAGAGTAGTGGGTTGAAAGTCAGGAAACCTGACATGGAATCTCAAATCTGTCATTTACTACCTGCATGACCTTGGATACATCACCTCCCTCCACCCCATCCATTTCCTCTTCTGTGACATGAAGATGTTGAGCTCCACGGTCCAGAAGATCCCTACCGACTGACTCTAACACTTGAGGCCACAGATAGTTCATAGTTGGTGGTGAGGGGTTAAAACAGTAATGATGATGTATACGAAAGTAATCCATAAGCCATAAAGATATATAGGTGTTAGAAATAACAATATGATCCAGTTCCGTGTTAAAAAAAAAAAAAAAGCCCTGTAGCTCTCCTCCAAATTTAGGGGCTTAAAATATAAATAGGTACTGTCTGTCAAGGCAGCACTTTGGGGCCCTTAGAGGATTCTGAGAATTCTTTGTAACTACCTCTCATCAAATAAACACAACTTTGCACTAGTCTGTCTCAGGCTCACCAAGGCATCCCCAGGGCTATTGTGACTTCAAGGCTGGGTTCTTGGCCCAACTCAGAATCCTAGGGACTGCTAGAACAGTGGTGGCTGTGGTGGGCCACTCCAAATTTTCTTCAAGACCCTGAACAGTTAGTAAAGGCCCTTTGCATGAGGCGCGGGGGCCCTCTCTGTGGGAGAAAGCAGATTTCTAAATCGTCCCCTCTCCCTCCACACAGACACCCGTCTCCACCCTGCCTTTAAGGACACCAACACTTTGCCACTTTTCCAGCCGCGGTGGGGATTGGGAAACGCCCCGAAATGATAAGCAGCTTGCTGGGGCGTAATTTGCGAGGCCAGCTCCTCCAGCGTCCCGCGCACCGGCTCAGGGCCGGACCAGGTGCACCCAGAGGGCCCCTGTGCCAGAGGACAGGGGTTGCGGGCTTCCAGATAGCGAGGTCGGAGGGTAGCCGGGGTCTCCAGGGCCCGCGCGAGTGGTGGGGAGCTCCTAGGTGCATTCCAGAGCAGAGGGGGAGGAGGGGCCGGAGGAGAGGTGCGGTCCCTTTAAGACCCCAACGCTGGCTTAGCCAGAGGAGGGGGGGTGCAGTGGGGGCGCTGCGTGATGGGAAAGTCGCCGGCTGAGCCTCACACTTTCTCCCGATTTCTTAACTTTCGGGCCCGCGGAGCAGGAGTAAAGGCGCTGTGCCGGGGCGGAGACCCGGCTGCGGGCTTGCGGCGGCTGCGCGCCCGTGGACTTCCCGCCTGCGCCGGGCGGCCGGCCTCTCGGGCCAAGTGGGGAGCGGGCGGCGGGCGGGCAGGTGGCCCCGGGCCGCCGCGCCCGCGCCTTGGCTCTGCCCCCGGGAGCCGAGCGAGCCGCTGTTCCCTCGTGGTGTGAGGGCGGTGATGTTTTTCCTCCCACCCACTTTGGAGTCCCCCCTCCCCCTTCGCGCGCACTCTAGCTCTCGCCACAACCTGCGAGCCCCAGACCTCGGAGGAGCGCCCCGGGGAGCTCGGAGCGCGTGCACGCGTGGAAGACGGAGCAGGCCAGTGGCCAGGTCAGTGAGCAGTGCCCGATGCCCGCTCCCTCTACCTTCCTTTCCAGCCTTTGCACAGGTGGGGTGTCTTCTGTTGGCCCGAGCCGCCCCTGGACGGTCCCCCCGGGCGCCCCGAACTCCCCCGACCTGCCACCCCAACTTGCTCTCGGGTCCCGCAGCCAGCGGCCGGGCTGGAGGTGGGCTCCCAGGCGCAGGACCCCGGGCAGGTTAGGGACCTTGGATTCGAACTCACCACTTGCCACTCCCCGCTTGGCCTGCTTATCTCCAGGCTCTGGCGCCTGGGGAAGGCCACTTGGCCAGCCACCTAACGGCTTCTGCAGTCCCCTTCCTTACTGCCTGTGTCCCGAGAGCCTTTTTTTCTCGCTTGCTGCAGCGCCCTGGACCGGCGGGAGATTAATATGGGCTAAAGTTAATGAAACAGGGTGGACGGGGGCGAGAGGCTCCTCTAGCCCCTGGACATCTGTCTCATTTTCCGGCCCAGACCACTGGGGTCAGAGCCTGAGACGCTAGGCTCAGGAAGCAACGCAGCACTGCCAGAGCTTGGGGCCTGGAAAGCCTGCCTTCCAGAAGCTCCCGGGCCGGCCCTGCCACTAACTCTATGGGAATGGGCTGTTGAGTTCTCTGGGCTCCAGGGGGCCCATTTTGAAGGTGGAGTTGCTGTGGGGAATAAGATGAAATGATGGCTAGCAAGGTGTTTTGAAAGCCAAATGCAAAGCATTGTTTCTCAGTCATAAGCAGTAGTGAAGGCATTGCCTCTGACGAGAGACACCCTGGGCTAGAACTGCCAGTTTTTTGGTGGCTTCCCACCACCGGTGAACGGAGCTTTTCTTGTTGGGTGGTGGAGTGGGGAGAGGATCTCAGTGGATGGACGCGGTCACTGAGACCCCAGTGTCTTCTTGTTGTTTGTCCCAAAGAGAAGCACTACCCTCCCCCCGGGGTGGGGGGCTGTCCCACAGAAGACAGTGAATGTGAGTTTACAAGGTCAGTCAAGCCTCTCGGGAGGAATAAAGAGACACTGTGGGCCGTGAAGCACTGGCTGACGTGCTCATCCCTTAGCCTGCCTTTGGGAAAGTCTCTCTGGTTCTCTTCTACCCAGGAGACGTCTTCTGAGAAGGTCTGGACTTCTGACACTTGATGACCCAGATTGCCTTGTGGTTCCGACCGGGCAAGGAGCCTTCGGTCCCTTTGCTAGATGCAAATGAACTGTGAATGTTTGTTTCATGGAGGCACCTGAATGGATACACTTCTTTAGGTTCTGACATGTTTCTTGTTCTTTTGTTGTTTTTTTTTTTTTTAAGATTTTATTTATTTTTTTGACAGAGAGAGACACAGCGAAAGACGGAACACAAGCAGGGGGAGTGGGAGAGGGAGAAGCAGGCTTCCCGTGGAGCAGGGAGCCCGATGCGGGGCTCGATCCCAAGACCCTGGGATCATGACCTGAGCTGAAGGCAGACGCTTAAAAACTGAGCCACCCAGGCGCCGCTTCTTGTTCTCTTGTAAACCGCCCCCTCCCCAGGGTTGCAGGATTTTGTGTTCTTACTTGCTTTCTTGGGGGTGGGGAGCCTGGATCCCCCCAGACAGGTCTGTGGCTACATTTCTAAGTAACCTGTAGGAGAGTCAGTGCAAGTTCAATGGCACAACAGCCCGAGTGAAGCAGAGAGTTAATGCAGAAATAACTCCAGTTAACTGGGTCAAAGTATAATTTGAAAAATTAAGGACAGTTTGGCTCTTTGCAAGTATAAGAGTCGGCATGTTTGCTGAGCAATGCTCACTTAGGTTTATTGCTGCAGTCCCAACAAATGTCTTGAAACCACCTCCCTCCCCCAAAAGAAAAAGTTAAAGGGATCAGGCGACATTGAACCGGGAGGAGTCCTGGGGAGGGAATTCTTCTCAGTTTATATTTCTGCACAGAATACAAAGACAGGACTTCAGATCTTGTAAATCAAAAGTGAATATTTATAAAGCGATTCATTTTCTGATGTTCTCCATCACAGCCTGGGAGGCCACACAGATGACAGGAACGCCAAAAGAGATTAATTGCTCTCTCGTCACCAACTTTTCTATTTGCTCATAACATTAGTTGGGACCCAAGAAAAGCAAAAAAAATTCTGAGAGCCGTTTTCTTGCCAGCTTGAGTTATGAAGCAATGCTACTGTTCACCGAATCGCCCAACCATTGTACAAGAAAAACAACCCTGTTGGTTCTTGCATGGGGAGACCCAAAAACTGTGGTTTCAGAAATACCCCCTGAGATCCATATGTGATTGTGATAAATTGGATTTCAGCGGTTAGAAAATCTTTCTCATTCGAAGGCTTGGGGGATAAGCTTATTAAAGTAGGCTCAGAAAGAACCTCCTGGGGTGGGCAGCTGTGTTAAACCGTTCATGGAAATGATTTGCTTCAAGGGGGACCTGGTAGCTCTCAGAGGACAGAGACGTGCTGAGTGATTGAAGCTGGACCACAAGCTCACAGAGGGGACCAAGATGTCAGAACCAAGGCCTTTGGGAGGCTAGGAACATGTCCTATGAGAATTTGGCCCTTGTTTAAGGAGCAGGAAGGGGCTCCTGGGTGGCTCAGTCGGTTAAGCGACTGCCTTCAGCTCGGGTCATGATCCCAGGGTCTTGGGATCGAGCCCCACATCGGGCTCCCAGCTCAGCGGGGAGCCTGCTTCTCCCTCTCCCCTTGCTCCAACCCCCTGCTCATGCTCTCTCTCTGTCAAATAAGTAAATAAAATCTTAAAAAAAATACGGAGCAGGAAGGAGGTAGAGAAGGCAGACGGGTGCTGCAAATCATGGCACAAGTTATTCTGTATTTTCTACTTCGGTTACATAGCCATAATTTCAAACAATGGCTTTCAATTTGTCTGGATAAGTTCATAGCATTTCAAGTAGGAGCTGTGGCATCCCCATCGCGGCCCAAAGACAGTTCAGTTCTCCAGAATGATCATCTTGCATTTCTGCCAGCTCTTTATACTCAGTATTTAGGTTGGCCCCTCAGAAAAGATCAATGCGTTTAATTCCCATTGGGGTTAACCCCGGATTGAAAGGTGGTGTTTCTCAGACATTTACATACTTTCAAATCATCCACTGGAAGGGTTTTATGGACTCTAAAATCTATGGAAATGACCCGTGGCTGGACCTGAGCAAGCTTTCTGTGTTTTAAGGCTCAAAAGGTTTAAGATTTCCACCCCTTAGACTAGAAATGCAAGTCTCATACTTTGAAGAATTGTAGTTGCTTTGATGGTCTTCTGCATGGTGGTGCAGTGTGAACACATTATCTATTTAAATTGGCCTAATGTCCCTCAAAAATGGCCCACTAGAAGTTTCTGTTTCGCAGTGGACTTCACATGAGAGCAATATGTCTGAACCGTTAAGGTGTTTACTTGTGTCCATTTGCTAATTATATCCATCTTTTCCAACATAAGTAACCCAACTGCACATCTTTATAGATCTCATAGAAGACACAGGAGAAACATTGACCAATTTACGCCTCATCCCTGAAGGATTAATAAATAGCAGTAGTCTTGAAGCTAAGATGAGTTAACTTGCATTTCAGAAATTGTTTGGGTCCCATGCCTATTATTTTTATCTTGGTTGCCAGAGGAGTCGTTTTGCAAACCCATTTCCCTTTTCTCCCAAAGAAAATCTCTTGGGAAATCAACTCTAATTCTGTTAGAAGGGATGATTTCAAAATTTATTTTTATTTTCCTATTACTTGCCTGTAAGGATTTTAGCCTTAGCATTGGATAGGAATGCATGTTCATCTGCTTGAATTTTCCCCCTTAATCTTTGCAAGACAGGAGAGGCAAGTGCTCTTTCTTACACAGGAAAGCAGTGCTTACCCTTACGTAAATCCTCTAGCATTTTTCCCCCCTGACATGTTAAAAGCGTAAGCATCGGTGATCTCCCATCAGTTTCAGACGCCCTAAGTCTTTTCTCCTGCTTTCTTCCCAGCAGCTTGGATACACCGGGCCCTGAAAGTTTTGAGCAGCCTTTTGCAGCGGTGAAGATGAGAAAAAAGTGGAAAATGGGAGGCATGAAATACATCTTCTCCTTGTTGCTGTTCGTTCTTTTCCTAGAAGGAAGCAAAACAGAACAAGTAAAACGTAAGTGTCTTGAGTTTAACAAACAAGATACTTTCTTGTAATTTCTTTGAAAATGTGGTTATAATCCGTAGGGATTGTGATTTAGCCCAAATGTGGCCATACCATTATTCTAAGAGAAGAAAGTGAATGTTACTGGTTTATGCATGAGTTGATAAAAGAATGAGTGCTCTGCATCGGGCCAACTAAATTTGGGGCTGTTTTTCTGATTATCATATAGTTTTCATCTCCTAGAACACATGACACATTAGCCTATTTTCCTTTTCCTGTTCTAAGCTGCACAAATCTCATTCCATTTTACGTAACTCTAGAAATATCTGACAGATGAGCTGGATTTTTTCCCAAATTTCAGACTCTTCAGCAAAGGTTTTCAGTTTATGTAAAAGAATAACACAGAAAAGAAAAAAAGAAAACGAAAAAGAAAAAGTAAGGCAGGCTCTGCCTATTCCCTTATGCCACAAAACGAAGAAAGAAAAAAACCTTCACATGAACTGGATTCAGATGAAAAATCCTTTGAGGAAATTGAGATTCCAGGGACCGTGAGCAAATCGGATGCCGTTTATTGAAAGAACGTCCCCGCAAAGCCAGGGAATATTTCTAGAAAGTCAGCGATCCGTGTGATGGGCTAACACATTGGAGAAAGCCGAGTGGCAGGAAGGGGGTATAATTAACCCTCCTGGCTGCCACGTTTGGGAGATTTATGCGTAACCGTTGACATCGCTGCTCTTGTTAGGGGCTTTCTGCTGAAAGTCCGAGCCTCACCTTCTTGGGGCCACTTGCAGCCCTCTCTGGGGTAGACGCTTGCTCTAAATTGGAAGGAGAAACCACTGCTTTGGTTCCCGTCTTTGGCTGCATCAAAAGAAGCACAAAATGGAGCTGGGCCAAGAGGGGCATTCTCTGCTCCACTGAACTTATTCATGAGAAGGAACTGTGAAAATCTTCCTGGTAGGGGCTGCCGCAGCACATGAAGCCCATCACTGCAACATTTATCTCCTTTATCAGCGCAAGTTGACTATAGCCGGCATGAGGCTTGCTGACAGGGAAAACGGTGCCAAATCCATTCCACCATGACATGTATTTCTGTCCCACTACACTTTTCATAGTCCTCTCTGTCTTCTTCCCGGGAGAAGGGGTGCTTTTGATTAGGCTTCTGAGCGTGAGTGACCTGTGGTGTTATCTAGCATGATGGGGACACGTGAGGAAGTTTAGCGGGGCCCAGGTATTGGCTAGGAAACTCTGCATCAGTTTCTCTCTTGTCAGAAAGCTCTCCTTTAAGTGGCCGTGATAGAAAAGTTGTCCATTCATCTTCAGCTCTGCTTACAACCCAGCTGGGCCTAAGATCCTTGCTCTCTTATGACCTGTTAACTGATGGCGTCATAGGGGAAGCTTGCAACTCTTGGAAGGCCATCTCTTCTGGGAAGTCTTCCATATGTACGAAGACTTGAGGAATACTGTCCGTGTAACCTTGAGCTTACTTGACAAACCAAAGAAAAATCAGACTTCAAAAATATTTATAGGCCCCACACTATCACTTTCTAATGGGTTCTGCTGCCTATGAATTTGTCCCAAGCCCTTTTGATACTCAGTTGGTGTCAAAATGATTACATAATAGATGGCTTAGGGCCCCAGTTCTCTTCTCGTGTTTCAGCTTTACAGTCAGATGATGCGGCTAAGGGCATGGTCATCCCCTGAATGAGCCGCTCAGGATCATTCTGTGTGGCCACGCCCAAGCTAACTGTCTCGAGGACATGTGCTAAGTTATCTCCACTAAAGGGGAAATCTCAGAGCATGTGCCCTCTGTACATTGCCTTGATACACACAGACACACACACACACACACACACACACACACACACACAGACATGCACAATGCATGCACAGAGATTTGTACTGTAGCTCTAACAATGAGAAGTCAGAAGCAGTGGAAATGTCAGTCCATTGGGGGAATGGTTACATAAACGATCTGTGTAATGTACTATCATGCTAGCATTAAAAACACTGCATATTACAAATCTGAGAGCCCTGCGAAATGCTTACCTCCTTTTTAAACTTCATAAATTTTAAAATTAGTAACAGTCATCATACAAAACAATCTGAAAGTATCTGGGCTTTATAAGAATGTGTGTCCCTCAGCTACCAACCCCCTTCCCAGGGGAAGCTATTACTAATAGTTTGCTATGTGTTCTTCCAAACTCTTCCCTCTGTGTCCTAAAAACACACATACATGTTTGTAAGTTTTTTTTTCTTTTACGAAGATGGGGTATGATATGTATTTTTCTGTAACTTTTATTCAGATAGGTGTCTGGGACATCCTTCCATGTCAGAGCCTTGCCATATAACGGTACCGTATTCTTTCTCATGCCTGGGTAGTTTCCGGTCATATAAGCGTGCCATGGTTTAATTAACCAGTCGCTAGTTGTATATATTGAGGTTGCTTCCAGTTTTTGCTGTTACAACTAAGGCATTGATGAACACCTTCGGGCACTTAGGCAAGTATTTGTGAGGAATCGTTTGGTCAGTGTGGATGTTCACTTTTCACCTTGGTAAGCACTGTCAAATTATCCTTCAAAATGAGTTGTGTTCATTTCTACTTCCACTGGCTATGTATGAGTGTCCTTCTCTAACTCCTTCACCAAAAATATAATTAATCTTTGTATCTGGGGGCCCATTTAATAGTGGGAATCATATTTCAGTTTTGCTGTGATATTTTCCTGTTACCGGCGTATCTTTGCCATTCGTTTTCAAGCCAATTGTATTTCTTCAGTGACTGGCCTATTTTGCAGTTAGGTTGCTTGTCTTGGTGGTCGGTAAAAACTTACTTATTAACATTTTGTTATTTTGAACCTTGTTAGTGACCTTTTGTGTTTAAAATATTATTTTCCCCATCTGCCAGTTCCTTTAAACTTTAAGTTGGATTTGCCCATAGAGAGGTTTTAAATGCTGGTGTCATCAGATCTGTTATTTATTTCCTTTATGGCTTCTGAATTTCTTCTTCCTAAGGAGGTCCTTATCACTCGCTCTGTTATATTTTCTTCTGCTTCCATTATGTCAGGTTTTACCCATAGTTCTTTATTCCATCTGAAATTTATAGTCGTGTGTGGTGTGCAGTGGGGAGCTAATTTTTTTTAATCTGTGGGTGGTAGGCTCATGACTTCTTTTTGCTCATCTCTGTGCCTCTGTTTATTCGGGAGTTTCCACAATTGGCAAGTATGACTCTTAAAACAGGGATAAAAATCTGGGAAAACTCCGGGTAACGTGTTAAATGTAAAGGTAATAAACCCTCCTGTCTCTCCTTGCTGCCTGATGCCATTTTACACAAGGCAGCCAAGGGTTTTGACCCTTCATGGGTTGGTTTCAGTATAAGCTCCTTTGTCAATGCAGACCCTCTGTAGCCTGCTTGCTCTCCTGTCTTGGGCGTCAGGGTGGAAGGAGGGGGCATGCCCTTTGGTCAAAGATGCTCACTCAATTGATGTAGAATCGGAAGAGTTCTGGAGAAAAGGCCATATTTGCAAAAAGCCGTTTTCACAAGGAAAGGGAGGGCTGGATGCTGCCACTCGCTAGTAGCTAATTAGCCATAGTTATGTTGCTCTCTCAGGAGACAGGACAGGTTCTGGAACCCAGCGAATCCTGATGGCTCATTGCAATGGATGACGGAGCTGTGTGTGGCTTATAGAAAAGTCTGTTACTGTCCAGAATCAGCAAGGTTTGAGGTCCATAGTGGGGGGAGGGGGAGTCTTTCTGTAACTCCATTATGCTCTGTTGTTAAAGTTGTAGTCAAAGAGGCCAGGAAGCTCTTTTGAAGTTCAAAGGAGCGTAACATTCAGCGCATGATAATTCATGCAAATATGGGACAGGCAAACTGAAGAGTTTGCCTCTTTTGGCAGTTCTAACGTGGGTAATGAACGATCCATCAAAGTGAGGTGGAAGGAATGAGACGTGGGGAATATTCAGTTATGTATTTCCCAAGGACCAGCCCGGGCCAGGTCTGGCAGAGGTTCTGGGGAGAGGGATTGTCCATGTATTTCATGGAGTCCATTCCTCCTGTATAAGGCGAGTTAGCTGGATCTTCTAAGGGACTAGAATCTCACTCCTTTTTTCTCTTCAGGAGAAAAGCTTCCGGTGTTCATATCTGGCTGAAAATGAGCCTGTTATGGAGCCTACCGTGAGCTTCTCTATTGTGAAAACCAACCAGAGAGGCTTGAGTTTTCCTCTTCTAGGTTCTCGCTTGGACATTTGATGTGATTATTGGATGGTAGAAAGAAGCAAGCAAAAGAGTAGATCTCTTCTCTTAGAGGCTCTTAATAGGTGGAAGTTGACAAAAGGGAGAACATCTTAACTTTGGATACCGTAATGCTTTGCAAAGTACATTCTTTTTTTTAAGATTTTATTTATTTGAGAGAGAGAGCACATATGAATGGGGAGAGGGGCAGAGGCAGAGGGAGAAACAGATTCCCCGCTGAGCAGGGAGCCTGATGCAGGACTCGATCCCAGGACCCTGAGATCATGACCTGAGCTGAAGGCAGACGCTTAACCCACTGAGCCACTCAGGCACCCCCCCCAAAGTACATTCTTATTTTTTATGTTGGGGGTGCCAGTGGGGTTGGGTGTGGAGGCTCTGGAGTCAGCTTAGATCCAAACCCCAGGTCTTCAAATTCAATGTTCTGTTCACGACCCGTTTGCTTCTAGCAATTCTCTGGGGGGAAGCCAGTTCATACTCTTGAATAGAAGCCCATTCCTTTGCTCATGGCAGCCACTTACCACATAAGGGGTGATCCAAGTGAATGAATAAAGAACTTTGTAACCAGAATTCCTAAGAGAGGCAGTATACTATTGGGGAGTTAAAAGGGACTAACACCAACATTATTCAGGAACCTGAAGAAGCTAAGCCAAAGGAAATTTGTGAGGAAGGTTAAAAATATGTGCCTCTATGTCCATGCTTCTTAGATTTCCCTGACTTCTCAGTGGGAGTGGAATGTCCTCAGGGTCTAATGGAAAGAGGACTG